GCGACAAACTCTGCCCCACAAAAACACTCCTTCTTGTTTTGTTGTGAATGATCGTTCCTGACCGAACAGCAGCATGACATTAGTTCTGGGACTGAAGACTCTGTGGTTTCTGGCGTTCAGCTCCCTGTCCAACACGCTGGCGGTAACTAACAGTGGGAGATGGTGGTAAGTTTCAATACAACTTCCCCCCCCACGCCCCCCCCCACCCCCAAGCCACCCCTACCCTCAAACATAAGCCCGAATAAGTGTCTTTAACAAATAAAATAGCCCAGCAACAGCAGCAGGGTTCCCCGGACAGGTGTGAGAGCAGTTCTATCAATGCCATCTGACCAGTAGGTCTATGTGCGCGGTTGGGAAGTTGCATTCATTCTCCAAAGTACACGTTTTGCTATTTTGTTTGTTTGTTTGTTTGTGTGTGTGTGTTTCAGGGGCATTGTAAACATTGCTTCCTCCTCCAACTTACTCACCGACTCCAAATACGTCCAGCTGGTTTTGGACCCGAGTCTGCAGCTGCTAAGCCGAAAGCAACGGAAACTGATTCGCCAGAACCCGGGCATTCTGCACAGCATCACCGGGGGAGTGCAGACCGCGATCAGGGAGTGCAAGTGGCAATTCCGCAGCCGACGCTGGAACTGTCCAACAAGCCAGAGCTCCAACATCTTCGGCAAAATCGTCAACCGAGGTAGGTTCAGCCAGGTCAGGGAGCCGTGACACTACCCTCTAGGCCAGTTTCAAACCGATGCATCTGTCTCCCAGCTCATGAGGCTAAGCGTAGCCCAATCCAGGTCCAGATGCTGAAATAGGTCCGTTGACCCATGAGATTGGGTCCATGGGCTGACAAAACAAAACAAAAAGCCTCATGAGATTCCCTGTTTAGTCTTGGTCAGTTCTGACTTGAAATCAGCCGACCCAAGGGGGATTAGACTGGAAGGCCATGGAACACCGTGTACCGGCCCTATTCCCAGCCAAGTGAACCTATCCCCCTGCAGAACACCCTGCCCAGACAAAGGTATCTTGGACTGTGGCAGCATCCAACAGGCGGCAGCTCGCCAGGTTACCAGGCCGGCTGGA